CTTGGGACAGTGTGCCCTCCAGCCTGGAAACAGAGCCCTACTTTAACAAAGAGTTAAAAGTCAAGTAATAGGCTGGGAATATGAGCAAACAACAGAAAAAAAGTTCTAACCATAGAAAGTTACTATGGTGACAAGGCATATCAAAATACACGGTCAGAAAAAGATAGCAAAGTTAAAGCTCCTATATCCAAAGCTTCCATGAAAAATATGAATTGGTCTCAGGTCACAGATGAGCTCAAAAAGGATTTTGAAAATCAAGTAAGGGAGGTAGAGGAAAAATTGGGAAGAGAAATGAGAGTGATGCAAGAAAATAAATGAAAAATGAGTCAACAACTTGGTAAAGGAGACACAAAAAATACTGAAGAAAATAACATTTTAAAAAACAGACTAGGTCAAATGGTAAAAGAGGTACAAAAAAAGCCAATGTGGAGAAGAATGCTTTAAAAAGCAGAATTGACCAAATGGAAAGAGAGGCACAAAAATTCACTGAAGAAAAAAACTCCTTAAAAAATAGAATTGGCCAATTGCAAAAGGAGGTTTAAGAGCTCACTGAAGAAAATAATTCCTTAAAAATTGGAATTGAACAAATGGAAGCTAATGCCTTTATGAGAAATCAAGAAACAACAAAACAAAACAAAAAGAATGAAAATGTGAAATATCTCATTGGAAAAACAACTGACCTGGAAAATAGATCCAGGAGAGATAACTTAAAAATTATTAGACTACCTGAAAGCCATGATCAAAAAAAAAAAAAGCCTGGACAGCATCTTTCAAGAAATTATCAAGAAAAACTGCCGCAATATCCTAGAACCAGAGGATAAAATAGAAATTGAAAGAATCTACCAATCACTTCCTCAAAGAGATCCCCAAATGAAAACTTCCAGGAATATTATAGCCCAATTTTAGGGCTCCCAGGTCAGGGATAAAATATTGCAAGTAGCTAGAGAGAAACAATTCAAGTATAGTGGAGCCAGTCAGGATAACACAAGATTTAGCAGCTTCTACATTAAAGGATCAGAGGGCTTGGAATAATATTCTGGAGGTGAAAGGAGGTAGGATTACAACCAAGAATCACCTACCCAAGAAATCTGAGTATAATCCTTCAGGGGGAAAATAGACATTCAGTGAATGAAAGAAGACTTTCAAGCATTCCTGATGAAAAGACCAGAGATGAATAGAAAATTAGACTTTCAAATACAAGACTCAAGAGAAGCATGGAAAGGTAAAGAGGAAAGGGAAATCATAAGGGACTTCATAAGGTTAAACTGTTTACATTCCTACACGGGAAGATGATACTTGTAACTGATATGAATTTTCTCATTACTAGGGCAGATAGAAAGAGTATATATAGACAGAGGGCACAGGTGTGAGTTGAGTATAAAGGGATGATATCTAAAAAATAAAATAAAAATAAGAAAAGGAAAATTACAAATGTTGGAAGGTATATGGGGAAAATGGGGCATTAATGCACTGTTAGTGGAGTTGGGAACTGATTCAACCATTCTGTAGAGCAATTTGTGTGTGTGTGTGTGTGTGTGTGTGTGTGTGTGTGTGTGTGTGTAGAGCAATTTGGAACTATGCCCAAAGGGCTATAAAACTATGCATATTCTTTGACCTCGCAATACCAGTACTCTATTTGTATTCTGAAAGAGATAAAAAAAAAAAGGAAAATGACCTATATGTACAAAAATATTTATGATAGATCTTTTCAGAGGGCAAAGAATTGGAATTTGAGAGGATGCCCATCAATTGGGAACAGCTGAACAAGTTGCAATATGACTGTGATGGAATGCTATTGCACTATGAGAATTAAGTGGGATGCCCTCAGAAAAGTCTGGAGAGACTTACATGAGCTGATGCAAAGTGAAATGTACTGTGTACAAAGTAACAGCAATATTGCTAAGATGATCAATTGTGAATGACTTAGCTATTCTCAGTAATATAGTGATTCAAGATAACTCTGAAGGACTTATGATGAAAAATGCTATCCATTCCCAGACAAAGAACTGATGGTGTCTGAATACAGATTGAAGAATACTTCCTCCCCACCCCCGTATTTCTTAAGGGTTTTTTTTGTTTGTTTGGTTTTATGTTTTCGTTCACAGCATGACTATTATGAAAACATTTTTCATGACTGTGTAGAATAACCTATATCAAATCGCTTGCCTTCTCAATGGCAAGGGGAGAGAACGGGAGATAATTTGGAACTCAAAAGTTTTAAAAACAAATATTAGAAATCATTTTTTCATGTAACTGGGGAAAAATAAAATACTAAATTTTAAAAAAGAAAAAAAAGAGGAGGTCATTTGTTGTTTGCGAGGCTACACAGATGACATTGTCACCTTGAAGAAAGTATGAAGGCTTGGAATAGCCACTGTGGACAGAATGATTTTAATATAAAAGAATTGCCATTTAAGCAATGAGGGCCTATATGAATTTGTAGTGATACCTGTTGGCATGATTTTGTGACTTCTATTAGCAGCATTCCACACCTCAGCATTAGGAGCAAAGAAGGCAAATAGTGGCAATGGCCCAGGCTTGAGGACTGGTAGGGCATGAATATTTGAAGGATAACAAGACAATGGGTTCAAGAGTAGAGGGAAGGTGCCTTGTTGAAATGGTGAACTATAGGGTCAAAATAGTGAAGGGCTTAATGAATGCTCTCTTGCATGCAATATCACGTTGTTGTTTTTTATTGAGTTTGTAAGCCACTAAAAACCCCAGACCCTTTTCAGATTAATTACTATACAATCTCTTCTCTCTGATCTTGTACTTGTGAAATCAATTTTTTTGAGCTCAAATGAAAGATTTTACATTTATCCCTATATTTCATCTTATTAAGTTCAGCCAAACATTGTAATCTATCAGTATCTTTTCAGGTCCTGATTCTGTCATCCAAAGTACTAGCTATTTCTTCTAGCTTTGTTTTCTCTGTAAATTTGATAAGCATCTCAAAGAAAAAAAGTTAAATTTCATAGGGTCATGTACTGATCTCAGGGCTAGTCTCAGTGAGAGCCTGCTAAGCTAACATCAAACCATCAGTGATCACTTTTCAGGTCCTAACTTTCAACCAATGCTGGATACCCCTAATTGTCTAGCTGACATCTTTTCATCTTGATCACAAGAATAATATGAGAGATTTTGTAATTTTTTTTCCCAGGAGCTGTATTAAGTAGTTTCTATAGCATTCTTCCAAACTTTAAAAAAAAATCTAATAGCCATATTAAAGTAGGACATGAAGTTATTGGCCTCTGCTTGAGGAAATGATGAAGACTTTTTGTAGTTAACGTTTTACTTTCTAGTTGTTTACTAGCCATCCCTTTAATATGTACTAGAATTCTGGCAGGAATCAGTTGCTTTCCAGAATGGTTGGACACAGTTCCATCAACAGTATATTAATGTACTTATTTGTTAACAGGCTTTCCAGTATTTGATATTTTCCTTTTTTTTTGGGGGGAAGGGTCATCTTTGCTAGTATAATGGGTGTGAGATGGTACCTCAGAGTTGATTTAATTTGAATTTGAATTTCTCTAATTATTCGCTATTTGGAGCATTTTTATGTGGCTATTGATAGGGTAGATTTCTTCCTCTGAAAACTGTCTATTCCTATCCCTTGCTCATTTGTTTATTAGAAAGTGGCTCTTATTCTTACAAATGTGACTCAAATCCCTATAAACCATAGAAATAAAATTCTTATTAGAGAAATTTATTGCAAAGATTCTCCCCACCCTTACCTGCTTTTCTTCTACTTTTAGCTGGGTTGGTCTTGCTTGTACAGAACCTCTTTAATTTTAATTTAATTCTAAATGATCAAAATTATCCATTTTGCCCCTGTGATCCTCTCTATCTCTTGTTTGGTCATGAATTCATCACCTATGCATAGATTTGACCGATAATTTCTTCCATGCTCTTCTAATTTGTTTATGATATTGTCTTTGTGGCTAAATCTTGTATCCATTTGGAGCTTGAGTTGGCATATGGTATGAGATGTTGGTCTATACTTAGTTTCTGTCAGAATGCTTTCCAGTTTTATAACAGTTTTTGTCAGATAGTGAATTCTTGTCCTAATCACTGGGATCTTTGGGTTTATCAAACACTAGGCTACTACACTTGTTTGTTTCTGATTTTTACCTAATCTGTTTCACTAATGGACCTCTCTATTTTTCACTTGGTACCAAATTGTTTTAGTGATTACAATTTCATATATAATTTAGCTCTGGTATTGCTAGGTCTCTGTAGATGGCCTTCTTGAGTGGTTTAGCCACAAAAAGGAGGAGAGACAGATATAAAATGATAGCTATCTGGAATGGATATATCAGGTGAGTCATCTTGAACGTGGAAAAGATATGGGTGTGTGACTTTAGGTAGTAGAAAAGCAGTCAGAGAGAGAGTGGAGTAGTGTGATCAAGGAGGTAATCTGTTGGAGAAGATGGAGTAGATTGGGATCACTTATGCATGTAAGAAGGGTTGCCTTAGCAAGAAGAAGGGTTATGTCTTCCTGTGAGATAAGAATGAAGGAGGGGAAAGTAGGGAAGGCATTGGAGGGATGTAAGTTGAGAAGGTAAGGATAAGCAAAGGGGATAATCAATTATCCCAGTTATTTCTATTTATACGCTCTACTCCCTCTTTCCTTTAGAAGAAAGGACCTAGTCTGGTCAGACTGTGTCATTCTACCTCTTGATATACATTGGTGCAGTCATTGAAGCTCTTTTGAGATATGTCTTCTTCTCTTAAATTATCAATCTAGCCTCACAAAAAAGTACAAACCCATACCAATCTTAGAACTAGAGTATATGGAGTGTTTAAGGAGGACTAGCACCTCTGGTGTGAAGGCTTGCTAAGCCCTTTTTAGAGCTGCTCATCCACCTTTGGTGTCCAAATGTCACCCAATTCTCACTTGTGCCTCCAAGAAGCTGAAGAATATGCAGCAGCCATACCCCAGTAAAACCATATCAGCAGACACGCTAAACCAGGTTGAAGGTAATCAACAGTCCTCAAACCTGTTGGCCTGCTAGGGCATGTCTACCCCAAGTATGTGAAGACTTCCCCTGGCAGAATGGGAGGATGAGAACAATTCATTTCAATGGCCATAAAGATAGCTCAATCAGGCTCTGTGGAGTGCTTAGAGCTTGGTCAGACATTGAAGATGCCAAGGTCACCCAGTGCATTCTGATTCACTGTCAGTTGCCTTGACTTTCGTCTTGCTGCTGGACTTCGATGATTCTGGAAGAGAGTGACGCTGCTGATGACTTTGTGCAACTCTGCATCACTTCAATCCAATTCATATGCAAGTCAAGACATCATCCCATAATGTCATTGCCTTTACTGAAAATAAAGGAAAACAACAATGTTAGAACTCCTAACAAAATAAAGGTAGAGAAAATATGCTAAAGTCAATAATATACTCACAGAATCACAGAATCTGAGGGTGGGAAAGAACATCAGAGGCCATTTAATACAACTTCTTAAGAATCCTCTCTACAAAATATCCAACAAATGGCCATCCAGCTTTTGCTCAAAGATGTCCAGGGAACTTCTTCCCACTAGCTTGTTCTATACTTTAACACTACTGACACTGTTCTTATAGGACTGTGCCACATGTTTGTAATCGTATTTGCCCTTGCTTCCATATTCTGTATGCCTTCTTAATATTCGGGATCTGATACTCACCAATGACAAGGTTGTGGGGTGGAATGAAGAGAATCTTAGAGGAAGCAAACATTCTATCTTAGAATCTGTGATACAGAAGAATAAGTTAGAATGATATGACAAGCACCCTAGATTTGGAGACAACAAATTTCAACGTATTTGAAGAATGGATAGATAGAGAGTAATCTCATAGCCTAAAATTCTCCAGGGAATGTCATTGCAGGAAGAATGGGAAGTACTCAAGACAGAAATTCTGAAAACACAAAGAGAAATAATTCTGATGAGAAAAAGGGAAGATGGACAGAGACCCATCCTGATATTTTAGGAGCTCATCATTAATTTAAATATGAAGAAAGCATAGACAAGATGTATTGTACTGCAAGGGTGGTGCTTTAAAAGAGGCTGACTTAGGAATATAATTGAATGGATTTTGAACTTACCCTCCCTCCTCCCACCTAGTTGTTGAGTTATTCTTCATGACCCCATTTGGAGTTTTCTGGGCAAAGACACCAGAATTGTTTGCCATTTCCTTCTTCAGCTCATTTTACAGATGAGAAAACTGAGTTAAGTGACTTACCCAAGATCACAGAGCTAGTAAGTGCCTGAGGCCAGATTGAACTCAGGAAGATGAGTCTTCCTGACATCAGGTTCAGCACTCTATCCATTATGCCACCTAGCTCCTGACCTACTTCTCCGCACCCTTTGTTAATGGTATTCTGATTAAAGTCTGATTAAGACCAATCTGGTGGTACAGGCCTGGAACAAAAATGAAATGAGACATTTTTAGACCACGTAGCATTTTACAAAAGGAAATAAGTAAATTACTTAACAATGGGATGGGGAGGATAGTCAGCAAAGAGACAGCATTGATTCAGCTGGGCACAACTCCCTCACCTCTGATTTGCCGCAGTGGCTCTCTCAGAAAGGTGTTTTTAGTCATATGAACCTAATTGGTCAAGCCCGAGGAGCCTTGACTTTCTAGGTTCCTGGGAGTTTGATTCTTAGCATGCTTAGTCTTAAATCTTGCTAGTTTCTTTCACTTTCTAGGGGAAAGCTACGCTAGTCTACGTGACAGAGGCTTTGCAAGTTTTAGTATATGTTGTTCCTCCAACACCAGACTAATATAACTCTTTGGAATTTAGCCCTATATTGCCGACTAGTCTTTAGTTCAAGTTCCACCAACGAAATCATTTCTAGTTCTTAACACTGATTACAAAGAGGGTTCTACTCCTCAGAGGATGCTTATGATTCACAAAGTCTGGATCATCCTATTAACTCTGGAAAATCTGCCCTTCTTGAGCTCTCACTCTGAACAAAACATTTTTTTTTTATTCAAAGATCTTAGGTGGTGTTCAGGAAGAGAGCTCTGTTTAGACCTTTACTAAAATGATAGATATCACATCTATTAAAGTGAGAGGGTTGGCCATTCACTTCAGGTGGAATAATTTCCTACTTAAGCCACTAAGAGACAAATCACTCAGACATACATAGAAAATCAAGATCTATAATAATACTTATCTACATTCGGAGGGGGATGGATCTCTCTCTCTCTCTCTCTCTCTCTCTCTCTCTCTCTCTCTCTCTCTCTCTCTCTCTCTCTCTCTCTCCCTCTCCCTCCCTCCCTCTCACCATTCAGGAGATTGAGGTGCAGGGAGTTAGCATAGCAAATGACACATCTGAGCCCAGTATATCAATGCTATTGATTTTTGGAGGAGTCTCTGCCTGGCCCTTTCATTTAGCAAAGACTAGTATCTCTTGGCTCAGCTCTGTGATAGATGTAACCAGTTGCAGAATTCCTCAGATGGTGAGAAGCAGTCTTATTGGGAACTCCAGTAGGATGCTGGTGATTGGAGAGACTTTAAAGTTGATTAGCAAAGTTTTCTAGACCAAGTTTTTTTGTTTTTAAAACATAGAAGAGATTTGGATTCCAGTGAGCTCAGGCTGGCAGTAGCTGTTCGCTGATCCAAACTGTTAATGTGTTCTTCCTCTTGCTAGAAAGTAGCAGTTGTTTTTGCCTGAAGAACATTAACATTTGTGGATCTAATCAGCCTTTGTTACATGTTGCTCTCTCTTGGCTCCTAAGGTAAATTCATGCTAGTGTATCTGGAATTCAAAGCCTTCAACGACGCAGTCCCACTCTACCTTTAATGCACGATAATGTGTATTGATCCATTCAATGTGGTCTATGCACCGGCACAAATGGAAAGTTCTGTGTTTCTTGGATATATCCTATGCTTTCTTGCGTCTCCTTTTTTTTGCTCATGCTATGCCTAGAAGATCTTAACCAACTCTTTGCTTATTGAATTTCTATATATCCTTTATAGCTCACACCGAGTGCTACCTCCTTCATGAAATCTTTCTTAGTTCCTCTCTCCCTAGAGTCTTCTTGTTAACATGTTGAATCAGTCTTGAAAGCAAACATAGTCTACACAGTATGCTGAAGGCAGGACCCATGTACCTTTGTCTTCAAAATGCATTTTATTGTACACCTCTCAAATCGACTAACCAGTCAAGTATTTATTAAGCACTTACCATAGGACATGCCAGGTGCTGTTCTAGGCTCTGGAAATAAAGTAGAAAGAATGAAGCAGTTCTCCTCAAACAGAGCTTGCATTTTAGTAGAGGAGCCACCTAATATATTATACACCATAAATATAAAGTGAATAAATACAGTGTGCAATATTGTATATTGAATTTTAAAAGTTGTTAAATACAGCGGATCTTAAGGAGAGCACTAGCAGTTGGGGAGATTGGGAAAGGCTTCATGCAGAAGATAATACTTGAACTGCCACTTCAAGGCAGAGGAAAACTCTGATAAGGAGGGGAAAACAGAGATAAGGAGAGAATGCATTTCAGCCATGTGAGATGGTGAGCACAAAGTCACAGTCATGGGGGATGGAATGCATTTGTGCGAAATATTGTGTATTATGTTATGGTATTTGTGGCTCTATCTCATGCTTTACACACCCCCTCCCCAACCTATCTCCCAGGTTGTAGGCTTCAACAAGGTAGAGATATTGTTTTACCTCATTTTGCATGTCCTCCAGTGCCTAGTACTGTGCTCTGTACTTAGTAGGTATTTAATAAATATTTAGTCAATATTTTGTTGTTGAATATATGGGCCTAGGCTGACTCACCAGTGGGTAGTCAGTTCCATGATGAGATAAAACAAAGCCTAGGAAAACTCATCCTAGCCAAGACAGAGGGAATGTGGGTCTATGGCAAGCAACAGAGCAGATGGTGCTGCTATAGATGATAAATGTATCTTGGTTTTTGCCTTGGAACTTCACAATCTGGAGTCTTTCATGACTCCTCTGCAGCTCTTGGATTCCCAAGTGGAAACCATTTCCAGCATCCTCTTTTTCTTTCTGCATACATAGAGTGCTAAGGTCTCAGGCGCCAGTCTCGGTAGGGTTGTTAATGGAATCACCTTCACAACAGATAGCTGCAACCGAGTCCTGGGGTGGCCACTCTCAAGGAACGCAAAATCATAGTTTGTTAAGGTTGAAAGTGACTGATATTAGAGCAGAGAAGAATGTGTGAGATCATCTAATCTCACACTTTCATTTTATGAATGAGGAAACTGAGGCTCAAAACAGGTTGCCCAAGGCAACACAGCTAGTAGAACCAAGCCTTTTTTGGAATGTCAGTGTAGTATTCTTTTCCCTACACCATGTTGGTTTTTGACACTCTAAGGTTTCAATGGGTCCTGCCTTCAGCATACTGTGTAGACTACATTTGCTAACAAGATTGATAATAATGTTGTTTGTTTTTTACAACTCTGAGTTACATGTCGTTTGACTACTGGTTACCTTTTACTTATTCACAGGTTTAGGTGGGCAATTACAATTAGAAGTCCTTCAGGCAAGGAATGGATGATGTGTGAAATGCTCCCTAAGATCCATTTCCTTTCTAACAGAAAATTGTGGAAGGCTACTGATTGACCTTTAGGTCTTGCTACAAGTTGTATTTTGGTGCTGTGACCTTTCCTGAAGGCTCAGTGTCTTATTGTTTTGATTAGTTGAATACATATTGACCTGTATTTTAGTCTTTCAAGGCTTTCCCCCTTCCCAAACTAATTCTGTATTATCTTCAATCACTTTGATGTAAACTAAGGGATAGATGAAACTAAGACACTTTGGGATCAACTCAACCGTTCTTTATCTTCCTTTTTCTTTCAGAGGGCATGTAATGTCACTTGCTCAATGACTCTTTTCAAAATAGCCTGGAAGTGGGAGATAGAGAAAAAGGAGGAAGACAGTAGAAAAGACAACAGTGACTTTTCCCAAATTACAGTCTAGAATTCTGACTCAAAGATTTAGCCAAGATAACTATGAACTTTTGAATTATCCTTTTGCCTGCCAAAATTTGATGGCATGTCATCTGCTTGTTCTGGCAGAATCATCAAGTTATATGAGGCACTCAACACTTTAGAACACCTTGATCCAGACTTTTCCAGTGATAGGCAAACTTG